CAGACCAGCCCATCTGGCACCAACAACCATGCCATGTTCAAAGTCACTTAAATCCCCTTTCTTCCCTATTCTGATGCTTGGTTTGAACTTTAGAAAGTCATGTTCACCATGTCTAGATGCCTAAATGCACTGAGTTGCTGCCATGTGATTGACTGATTTGCAATTTGTGTTACCAAGCAATTGAACAGCTGAACCTAATAAAGTGGCCGGTTAGTGTATATATACAGTATTTGACTACACATATCTTTATGACTACACATCTACTATAATTGTATAGTTTTCAGACCAAAAAATATTAATGTAATTTTTTTACTGTTACTTGGGACAAAAAAATTTACATTTGACAGTCTCTCACCTACTTTTCCCTTCCTATTTAGAATCAATGAAGACTTGAACAGATATCCTCAATCGATTGTTGAGGCCTACTGTCTGTGCAAAGGCTGTGTTTCATCCAAAGCCAACTCGATGGTCAGTGTGCCATTCTACAAAGAAGTGTCAGTCTTATACAAAACTTCCAAGTGTAAGAAGTCAAGATTTGTCTACAAATTACGACAAATTAGAATTGCTCAGGTCTGCATCTGCCGATTTCCTTAAATGTCTTCAGACGTTAATCGCCAATGATCACCGGTGAATCCGCTATGATTTTTGATCTGGAGATTCTGCTGTTAAAGAATAATTATGGAGCCAAAACCTGCTTCCATTGTGAACCAAGTTCAAGTTTAATGGGTTGACCTTGTCAAGTTATGTATGTATTTTAACGTAACTCAACCAAAAAAAAATGAAGAACGCTGAATAACATATATACATTCGGTATAGCACTGTCTTGGTGTGGAAAAATGTGCATTGATAAGAGAAATGACTGGGTGAGAGTTACACTTTAGACACAGGTTTGCGCCTAAACGTTAGATACAGGTTTGCAAACAAAACAAATTTCCACAAACTTACTGAATATGTTTTTTGGATTTAGAAATGTGACAAACATGGAAAGGGAATAAAGGCCTCTCCAATCTAAAATAAAATCACTGTAAATACCCCAAAGACTTCAAAAGAAGAGCTCAAATTCAATTAAATGAAATACAGTCTACAAGGTTAAGTAAATGTATTGATATCCAGTTTGTCTGGATAAGGTGTATGCATTTTTATTCTTTTTGTACATTGTATTATTGTATGAAGTAAGTTTTTTTTTACTTTTTTATGATAAGTTGGGTGTCTCTTTTATCAGTTATTAAGCTGGACACACTTTTTTTTTGTTACCAACTACATATTTAGGATTCCTAAAGGACTTTTGGCACTTTCTACTTCTTCACTTGACTGAAGCTAGCTCTAGAAGATGATAAGGCCATATGGACAATCGGGATGGTTGTAATATGTACATGCGGTTCTGCTCTAGGAAGTTGCATGTTCAATTTTTTTATGCTTTGTAATATAAAGTTTATATGTTTTCTTAATAAAAATGAAGGATACCTAGATGCTGGTGCAATCATTTGTTTAGTCTACTGTGCCAGTTGTTGGTGTCCATGAGTCTTCTAACAGTGGCCTGTCGTCTTCTCCTGCGGTATCAGTTCAGAAGGTAACCTTTTAAACAGAGTATATTAAACTCCAAAGAAAATTTCTGGTTGGATTGTGCAGTGTTCAATCAGCCTTTCGGTAGTTAGCATGAAGGTCCCCTGCCATCCATGATAGCTGTGTTTCCGGTTTCACCTTTCATATATCTTATGGAGAATCCACTAAAAGATGAGTAATATAACATTTCTATATCCTGTGCCGTTTAATACATTTTCTGTATATGGCTACATTGGCATAAAATAAAATTAATCAGTGATTAGTTCTTGTGTCAGACTCTCTCTGAGTTCCCCAAACAATTACTGGTTGGGATGGCATGTGACTGGTGTAGGCGATGGCTGGCCACCATCAAAACTGTGATGTCAGTGGAGGATACTACAGAGGCACTGAAAGATACTTAACTTTGTACAACAGGAATTGGAATTGTACGCAGGTTTATGGGAGTTTTTGTCAAAGAAGAGCTTCTTGGAAATCAAAGCCCTAAAAGTTGGACATATCCTTCAGGCATTTGAAGACTCTATAAAAGGATCAGGAATATCATGTGCGGGAGAGTTCCTACCACGAGCTCTCCGCCGCCGCCATAGTCAGGCTCCGCCCCTATTTCTTGTGTTTTAGTTATTGGTAGAGAGATGGAATATCATGATTCAAACTGAAATTATTGCAGTTTGATTGTTACCAAACTGCTAGATTACCATCAACAAGTAAACTTTCTGTAGTGGGGTGGATGATCATGTATGAGTAGTGCATGGTTGAAAAAGACAATTCTTGAGAATGTAGGTTGTTGTCCCTGAGTGAACTTAAAGGCTTGTTTTTCAGTTTTAAATAAAGTAGAGCCTGTGACTCAAGAAAAAGGAAGGAACCTTCCTCAACCCAAAATAGAAACATGTCTTTATTGGTTGGAACTCCATAATATTATATATAAGTATTCCATTTTTTATGATGCTTACAAAAATAACAGACATTGAAAAAAATAGAGAAGTCAAATTACTGCCTTGCACATAGAACACTGATCCCTTCTGCAGCTTACTCACATTAATTAAGTTTTTAATGGATGCCATGTCAGATGTAATAATCAATGAAGAACACATCTGAAAGTGTTTAGCGTTTTCCCAAAGAGGGTTTGTGCAACCAAAGTCAACACTGATGCCACCACTTGCACTGTGTCTTGAATGAAAATGCTCTATACATGAGAACAAACACAAAGATACCTGATGTATACTTATTCTGTAAGACTGTTTTTTTTTTGTGGGAAATATTAATAGAGAAACAACAGCATGGGTATGGTGTACCCATGCATCATACACACTATGACCTAAAACTTCATACACTGTGTAAAACTCATAATGTAAAAAATAAAAGGAAGTCATAAGGATGCCAGGTGCATATAACCTTATAGGGTAATGTAGAATTAGTGCAAAAATACAAAATAATGAAACAGATATACAAGTTGTTTCACTATAGGGGGATAACAACCATACAACAAGTGTGTGTTTAGCTGCCATTGGTCAATTTTTCTGTCTAAATGGAGATGTGTATAGGATAGGGTTAGTATCCTTGCCACATACCACAACCCAATGGCATGGATTGATACTGAGGGTTACTGTGGTTACTACAAGGCTTAGCTGCCCATCAAAATCAAATATATCACAGTACCCTTCCGGAGTGGGAAAAGAATGCGCTTCTATCAATCCACAGTCCACAATAATCTCCCTTTTGCTTCAACAACTAAATCCAGATTGCCCCAATAAGTGTCCATAATAAAAAATAAAAAAAAAAATTAAGAAAAAAAATTAAAACCCACAAAAATCCCTTAACCCAACATGTTTCGCCTTAAAACAAGGCTTCTTCAGGGGTGTACAGTGCAAATAGTGTGTTTAGTGTGGCCATGTGGACATTATGAGGAGTTTTTGTCTAGAGTTTCAGATGTGCATCTTCTACAAGGGTAAGACACCAGAGGTGACTGCTCTTACAGAGTCTCAGATTAGCTGGCTGTCCCCTCTACCTCCAGCAATACGTAAAGCTGCTACTGAAGGACTTTAGAATCTGTCCTCTAATTCAAGTACTTCAATAAAACTCCAAAAAAAGACACCCCTAGATTGGACCTGTGTTTGTCAGTGTTCTCTGGAACTGGCATCTGGGCCTGGTAGCCTTTAAACAGGTAACGTCTTATACACATGGGCCGAATATCACTCAAAATCAGTCGGTATGGTAGATACAGCAACATTTGGTCCTTGTATCTTGTTTGACAGAAGCCAATCTCACAGCCAGCTTCTGTCGAATGAGCTTACTGGAAAACCAGCATTCAATCGGTATCTGATCAGTGTTTGCAGCCAATGGCTGTGAGTGATGACCGATGTGTGCTGACAGGGGGTCAGTTCCCGAAGGGAGATCTGGTTTATTTTGAGTGTTTTTTTTGCAGTTGAGCATTACAAACCTTTACACTTAAAAAAAGGCAGCGTAAAAGCAGCTGTCAAAATAGTGATAAAGTGTTGAATTCACATTAATCTCTGGATAAAACAAAATATAAAACAGTGTGTTCCTAACTCAAAATAAGTCCCTTCTATTGCTCAGCCTATTCCATATCCCCAAATTCCTCTTTTTGCTGCTGTGATTTGAGTTCCTGTTCATTCTCCATGGTTCTGCTGTATGCAGGAACATAGCCACCCTCCCTTTCTCGCTTCTGAGATGGAATATGGACTATGGCAGGAGTCTCCAAACTTTATAAATAAAGGGCCAGTTTACTGGTCTTCAGACTTTAAGGGGACCAGACTTTGGCCATCGAAAGCAGGAAAATATCCCCGGGATCAATTGGAGTAAACAAAGCCCCATCGTTGGTGTCATTGGGAAGAATTGTGCCCCATCATTGGTAGAAATTGTGCCCCATCATTGGTGTCATTGGTAGGAACTGTATCCCATCAATGGTGTCATTGGCAGAAATTTTGCCCCATCGTTGGTGTCATTGATAGGAATTGTGCCATGTCATTGGAAGGAATTGTGCCCCATCACTGGCATCATTGGGAGGAATTGTGCCCCATCACTGTTGTTATTGGGAAGAAATGTGCCCCATCACTGTTGTCATTGGGAGGAATTGTGCCCCATCACTGGTGTCACTGAGCTCATTGTTGGGGTCATTGGGAGGAACTGTGACCCAGCATTTGTATCACTTGCTGGAAATAATAAATAAATAATAATAAATTAAATAGTGCCCCAAGAGCCAGATTAAAGCAGCCAAAGGGCCGCACCTGGCCCCTGGGCCGCAGTTTGGAGACCACTGGACTATGGGATTTGTAGTGTGCATAGAGCTGTGTACATGACCACAACTAACATGCTCTGCCTATTACAAACAAAGGGAAGTGAGCGCCTTTAAGTAGTGAATGTGTATGGATTATTTTTGCAAAATAAGATATAATTTAGTGTCACTTTAAACTGTTACTAGACCCAGACCCTGCATTCACTATATCTGGTCTCCCCGGACCCTGCATTCACTATATCTGGTCTCCCCGGACCCTGCATTCACTATGTCTGGTCTCCCCGGACCCTGCATTCACTATATCTGGTCTCCCCGGACCCTGCATTCACTATATCTGGTCTCCCCCGGACCCTGCATTCACTATGTCTGGTCTCCCCGGACCCTGCATTCACTATATCTGGTCTCCCAGGACCCTGCATTCACTATATCTGGTTTCCCAGGACCCTGCATTCACTATATCTGGTCTCCCAGGACCCTGCATTCACTATATCTGGTCTCCCAGGACCCTGCATTCACTATATCTGGTCTCCCAGGACCCTACATTCACTATGTCTGGTCTCCCAGGACCCTACATTCACTATGTCTGGTCTCCCAGGACCCTGCATTCACTATGTCTGGTCTCCCAGGACTCTGCATTCACTATATCTGGTCTCCCAGGACCCTGCATTCACTATATCTGGTCTCCCAGGACCCTGCATTCACTATATCTGGTCTCCCAGGACCCTATATTCACTATATCTGGTCTCCCAGAACCCTGCATTCACTATGTCTGGTCTCCCTGGACCCTGCATTCACTATCTCTGGGCTCCCAGGACCCTGCATTCACTATATCTGGTCTCCCGCACCCTGCATTCACTATATCCGCTCTCCCTGGACCCTGCATTCACTATATCCTCTCTCCCTGGACCCCGCATTCACTATATCTGGTCTCCCCAGACCCTGCATTCACTATATCTGGTCTCCCACAGTACAAAGAACATGGAAATGCGATTATTTTAGTAAATATAAACTGCTAAATACCTTTTCTCATCAGCAGTATATAGCAGTCTTGTGACTTCTATCAGTGTCCATCAGAGCACCACTTAAAGCTTGTAGGAGGAGTTTTCTTTCTGCTCTAGGAGGATGCAGAACTCCTGACCCTCTGTCTGGACAGTGCTGACTGGCCCTGTGCTGATCACGTGCAAGTAAAAAAAACAAAAAAAAACCTCTCTAGCAATACACACCAAACTGAGCATGCTCAGAGTGTCTCCACATAATATATCTTATCAGGAGATAAGAGGGGGCAATGAAAAGAAGGGGAGGATCAGGGAAGTCAGGATCAAACAGGCTTTTTACACAATCAAGAGGATTTAACCCTTTAGGCTCCACAGTGAGTATAACAAGCATGCTTTACTGCATATACAGACTGATTGTACTGTTGTGGGATTGTAATTATGCTCTGTAATTATGTTACAAGAATTAGGTCTTCAAGGGTTCAGCGATGATATACAGCGATATTCCTATACCATTTGTTTTGATAGCATTGAAGATATTTTGGCTCAGCATAAAAAGAATAAAAATGAAAGCAGTTAAAGTGCATGTAATCCAAAAACAAAAATGTAATGTACAACAGCTTACTAGTCTTTATATGTGGTGGGTATACAAGTTAACTTATGTCAGGATTTTTCCTTTATTTATACTTGGTCATCCTGCTAGTAAGACAATGGTCACTCTCTGTTCTGTGTCGATGGAGTCCTAAGCTGTTCTCCTGATTTTGGATTACAAACATCTCCCCTTTCCCTCACCTCTATAGCATAGCTGGGAGGTGTTCAGTAGCTCACACAAGAGAATTGGGAAGGTTGATAACATGGTTCGAGATTTCTTTTCAGGGCATGGGAAGTTACAAGGACACCAGAATTTCTGTGAAAACCAACAGATATTTTCCTGTATTTGCAGCAAATGTGCTTAGCCTAAAAAAGAATGAATGCAGTCACCACACCTAAGGACGGGCAACTAGCAATATATAACATTTCTGTTCAGCTACACTTTAATTAAAATTTCATCACCGCCTCTTATGACTCGTTGCCTTTTCCACTTCTGGCGCTGAACATTCTGTGGGTGGTTTCTTGTTATGTGGCTTTTAGTGGGTGTGATTTATATGTTAAGAAGCAATGACTGATTATTTAGCTGTTACAGTTCTTGATGGAATGGGGTGTGGTGTCTCCAGAGCAGCCTGTGTGCTTTGTTATAGGTTATTACATACACTATATTTCCAAAAGTATTGGGCCAGCCCTCCAAATCATTGGATTCAGGTGTTCCAATCACCTCCATGGCCACAGGTATATAAAATCAAGCACCTAGGCATGCAGACTGCTTCTACAAACATTTGTGAAAGAATGGGTCGCTCTCAGGAGCTCAGTGAATTCATGCGTGGTACCGTGATAGGTTGCCACCTGTGCAATAAGTCCATCCGTGACATTTCCTTCCTACTAATATTCATGGGATTATAACAAAGTGGAAGCAACTGGGAACAACAGCAACTCAGCCACCAAGTGGTAGGACACGTAAAATGACAGAGCGGGGTCAGTGCATGCTGAAGCTCACAGTGCACAGAAGTCGCCAACTGTCTGCAGAGTCCATACCTAAAGACCTCCAAACTTCATGTGGTCTTCAGATTAGCACAACAACAGTGCATAGAGAGCTTCATGGAATGGGTTTCCATGGTTGAGCAGCTGCATCCAAGCCCTACATCACCAAGTGCAATCCAAAGCGTCAGATGCAGTGGTGTAAAGCACTCTGGAGTTCTCTGGAGCAGGGGCGGACTGACCATTTGGAAACTCGGGCACTGCCCGAGGGCCCGGGGTCAGTAGGGGGCCCCATGAGATGCCCCTGGTACCTTTTTCAGAGGCTTTTTTGAGTTTGGGCAAGGACACAGGGGCCCCATGATCCCCTATTGCTCAGGGGCCCAATGAGTTGTCAGTCCTGTTCAAGTACCTCCCCAGTGGTCAGCTGTACCAACATTGCTCAAGACTGCTGGGAGCTCTGACAAGCTACTCATCTGGAACCTGCAGCACATATGAAGTGCACCTTTAACCTCGGCTGAATTTCGTGGACAGCTACTGTTCCTGACCTGATGTTCTACAAGCTTTTCCGGGATTGCCTCTCCTACTGTAAGCACTCCTATCAGCACCTGTTGCCACTGTGTTCCTCCTGTCCCACCTTCAGTAGGACCTTGGCTGGAGATACAGTCATTTCAATCCCCAATCAGGTGCGTAACACAGCCTCTATAGCAGTGTTATCAACTTTCCTAATATGGAGAGCCCCAAGTGTGGCCGCTGACATCATCAAAGTGCCACACATAAAATTATGTGAATATTCACTGTCAGAAACAGTAAATACACAACAGGATATAGTCAAAGACTATGGGCATGATACAGGAGATGTTCAGAGACTGTGGACATGATAGAAGAGATGGTCAGAGACTGTGGAAATCACTGCTATAACAGGGCAATAGGGAAACAAAGATACATGACTGCAGGGGGCCCAAGGGCTGCACAGAATGTGCCAAAGGGCCATATGTTGGGCACTAAGGCTCTCAATGTTGCCCTAGACACCCCTTTATGAGGAAGCCCTGTAAAAGGAGCTCTGTGATCAGCTAAATATTGGTGCCAAAGTTCAAGCCCTGCCCCAGACCTTTTCCAAGAATACTATCCCACCTGCTGAGGTCGAACCCTCTGCCATATTGTGCCCACTCCATGCCTGAGGCCTCCATGCGGCATTCCCAGCCATTGGCCTTTATATCCCAAAGAAGGAATGTCCACACATGAATAGAATCACTGCACTTTACTGATGTTACACAGGAAATGGCATAACAATTGCATCACATCGACATACTGTATATTCTGGGGTTATTTGACATTACATGGATGTGGATGGTCCGCAGCAGTCACATGTGAAAGCATTTGAAGCACTTTAAGAGTTCACCTGCTAACAGTCTATTTCCATCCCAGGGTCATTAGTGCTCACAGGCCTTGGCTCTTTGTGGACACCTCCTCCACAGGTACACCTCTCCCGGGAAGCTCCAGGGGAATAGCCTCACCCACGGAACTCTTGGTTTGGCCTTAAAGGCCTTTTGCAACCTGACCTAGCCAATACCTCCATAAACATCAGGAAGTCTACAGCTAGCTCTCCTGGGTGCAGGTCTACTCATCCCCAGCCTTCAGCCCTATCCAGGGCCTTCACACGCTGATTACATTGGTCCTGGTGTGGGGGTGTGTTTGGCTCCCATGTCCCAACTAGGGCTCCTCCCAATTTGTCTTATATGTGGGTGCTGCCTTACCCATGACATCACTGCAGGAGGGCTCTTTTTAAAGGGGCTAGCACCTGATGACACTGTCTGCTGTAACCAGACACTATTCTGGCACAAAGCCACCTAGTAGCAGACTAGCAGGTACACCTGCTTACAACCTTTTTATTCAAAAATTCATTGTCATCAAAACATTGCTAAACTACGTAGGTAGAGAGATTTTGTTGTCTGTTGTTTGGTGGGGCTAATGGAGTTTAAGTGAATTAGAGGGCCAAGCAAGACATCTTTTTATGGTTTTATGTAATGAATCATGATGAGCACAGCAATGCATTATCAATCCTAAGTACTTTTGATGTACAATAAGGCACTTCACAGTTCTGTAACATGGCAGTCAGTAGGCAGAAGTTACTTACGTATCATGCTTAAGGATTGTCCCTTAAGGCAGGTCCTCTTAGGCTGGCCATACATTAAACAATTTTATTACAATTTCTGCCCAATTTCCTTTAGATTTACCTTCAACTATGTAGTGCAAGGGCCTGCCTAATTGGATACAATTGAAAGTGTTGTTTAGGTTTGACCTCCTATTATATGGTTTTTGGTAAATCTAAACCAAAATTCTCAAAAAAATTGTATAATGTATGGCCAGCCTTAGGCTTACTCAGTGGGCCTCTAAGTAGGGTGCTGGGCTGACCTTTGTTAGGCACATAAATGTGTCAGTCAAGAAACAGGCTTGCAACAGGGTCCTACCAGAACCCCAAGCAGTGTTCAGGCTTTGCCCTGGGGCGTTCCTAATCTAGCCCTCCTCCACAGAAGCCTATCTGTGCCTAGCCAATATGTACCTGACCCTATCTTCCATTCTCCACATTTCAGGGTGCACCAGACTGACCCAGCAGGGGCCATATATAGCCTCCCTGGATCCAAAATAGTTGCCCAAATCTTGGGAGAGTCCGGTGTCCAATTAAAAACTGGTTCCCCCAAAATGCCCACTACAGAGGGCAAGCCAGTTTCCTCTAGTGCCTGAGCTAAGCAACAATCAAATAAGTGCTGTGTTTACTTCTGGCACCAATCAGGTATTGATATGCAGATTGCCGTCTCATAGACATGTGCCTTTCATTTTGACCTGAATTCGAATTGTTATTCGGACATTTAGATGTCTCCAAATTTCTGAATTATATTAGTAACAAATCCAAATTAATGATTTAATTCCGAATTCGAATAAAATTTGAATAAAAAAAGAATAGAGCATAAAAGAACAGAGTAGAATAGAAAATAATAGACAATAATAGAACAGAATATAAAAGAATAGGATACAATATAAAAGAATAGAACAGAATAGCGTATAAAAAGAATAGAATAGAAAAGAATAGAATAAAATAGTAAAAAAACAATAGAATATAATCAAATAGAAAGATTATACAGTGGATA